TGGTATTACAATAACCCAGAAAAAGGCGTTTAGCAAAAGGTCAAAAAAAGATATGCAAAAAAAAAAGAGATGAAAATTATCTGCGGTCCTCGAATCGGTACAAAAATCAGAGCTAAAAGCAAAAACAGGGAGGATCGCTGAGGAGAACGCTCCATTACAAAAGAAAAACAACAGCTGATTCATATGTCAACAAAAAAAGTCACTGATATATTTCGAGGGATTTTATTCCCGACACCCTACCCTTCAGCGCATCTTGCACTCGCCTGAAGACGATAAACGTACTCATTCGGAATTTATTTGACAGTGTTTCTATGGAGAGTGGTTTCCTGCTGATAAGGCATCAGTGATTTCACTTCCAGCGATTGCATGGGGAACAAGCTGTGGGGAAAGGGGAGTGGCGAGAAAAGAGTCGTTACCCCCCCAGTGGTCTTTCGAATAGTTTGTGGATGTACTCGTTTTGCCAGCGACTGGCTTCGAAGCACAATGACCGCACAAAACGGGAGCACTTAGAAATTGCACCATTGCGCGATAGTTGTTTCCCCTCAGTATCCTCCTGAATAGCATCCTTTTGTGGGCTAGCAGTAAAGGACCTGTCACGGATGGCTATTCTGGCTTGTTAGTGGGCAGACTACCGTTGTAATTATCACAATTCCAGTAATAAGTCAAATGTCTGGAATAAAATTAGAACATAAAATAAACGCGCTAGGGATTTTCTAAGTCTGAGATGTTCTGGATATGTACAGCTATGTTAAGTTTCGGGCATATAAGACGAGCAGCAAATAACGCTGGATTGCCCGCTCACTGTAATTATCATAAATACTGCTGCACCCAATATCAGTAGGGGAAAGACTGGAAGGTTACTAAAATTTGACTTCACAACGAGGATACGCATCCGTCAAGGAAATTCTCAAATTCAGACCAAAATAACCGATTCATCATTGGACATAAACATTTCGCTTCGTTTCACTAAACGCGAACTATGAGTTGACCAAACTTTTCTGTTTTATGCTGCAAGCGCCAAATAATGGAAAAGCGTCAAATCGGAAATGAAAGCACTAACTCTTTTCCTTTGGAAGTTGTGATTGTCTCTTGCGCTGTATGGAGAGCTGAAGTATTAAAATGTGCAGTAAAACAAAATGATTTATTTAGGCTGTACGTACAGTGCTGTACCTTTGAAGGCCTAGCAGAGTATTCCAGTCCTCTCTATCGAACGACTATTAAACCAGGAGAGTATTTCGAAGGAGAGGAGCAGATTGACGAGGAAACTGAACAAGTTGTCTCCTTTGATGTCATCACCAATTTTCGAATGATTCGAACTCCCAATTCAACGTATGTCATTTCCATTCTTTAACTGCAAGAAGCTAGCGGGTCACAGTTATGCATCGCCTGGTGTTGGCTTGATGAAGGAGCGAAGGCCTTGTAATGTGTTGAGCATCATCATCTCATCTCGAAAGTTGCTATTTCTGAACTAAGCTGAGGATGATACTTTATCGCCCAAGATATACAAAATATAATTTAAGTTTTTCATGGCCTGCCTTGAGATCATATTTGGAAAGCTGCACTAGAAAGGTGATCCGGAGGCCAGTCGCGAGCAGCTAAATCACCCGTCATTGACGACAGATTTTCTGTCGCAGTACCTTGTAAGATAAATTAAGTGCTGAAAGAATTCAACGCACAAAGTAAAGAGGTGAGCCTAAAAAATGACGCACCGAAAACCAAGGTTATACAAAGTGTTGGTATGCTTACGGCCAGATTGAATAGGTTAGCGGTGTTAACTTGAAAAACGGTGATAGCTACGTTTATCTCGGCCAGAAAGTAAATATGCGCTATAATCTCCAGCAAGAGACTGCATGTGGAAGGACTGACGGCTGGAGCAAAATTTCACATCGTTGATGTCATGTGGTGATTATGTGACAAAAGCTGAAAAGTGAGCAGTGACTGTGCTGGAAAGAGCGAATGGAGTGAAGGATGCTTGAGGTGTC